GAAGCAGTAGGATCGCCTGAGCCAGGAGTTTGAGGTTGCTGTGAGCTAGGCTGATGCCACAGCACTCTAGCCTGGGCAGCAGAGTAAGATTCTGTCTCAAAAAAAACCAAACAATAACTTACGTCTAAACTATTGTAGAACCATCATCATTCAACTTTAAACGTCCTCATTCTATTCTCTCAACGCTCACAATGTGTGTATTGTTAGAATAAATAGTAATGGAGAGGGTGGGAGATAATATAAACATACCGCTTTACAACAAATGACAAGTGTTATAATAAATGTATGTTTTTGTAACATGTATTTCAAATGTTCCCTCTACTGATCGACCAGACCTCCCGCGTCTTTTTGTTTTTCATATTATACTTGACAATAATTCTGTTGTCAACAATAAAAACCTATATGTCGCTGGTATTGACCTGTAGGATGCTTCCCATATTTTAAGAGCAATGAATATCAATTCTCTAGGAATGTTGGTTCAATGCAGATTCTGATTTCAGATGTCCTTTATGTGTGCCAAAATCTTGCATCTATAAGCTCTCAGGAGATACTGAAGCTGATTGCAGACACACTTTGAGTAGCAAGGTTGTAAATTTCCCATATTCTGGATTTGAATGACTGTACACCTGAGATGTGGTTAACATATCCTCTATTCATTATATGTATTCCAATAAATAGGTGGACTAGAGGCTTACTCCATATTTGGGTTTGATTTTTTGCAAGTAATTTTGCAAGAATTATTTTTTATTTTTTTTTTTTGCCAACGTAATTTCTTTGCATAATAAAAGAGGATGTCTTTTTCCTACTCCATTACATCAAGTGCACTGAAGTCTCCCTCTGGTGATTCAGGCTGGTGAGTGGTTCAGTGCGTGCTATCATCAGTATTCCATCTAGATAAATGGCCCCTCAGTTTGTTTCACTTAATATGAATTTTAGAAGTCAATGCTTTGTTGCCTAATTTTACCTGAACTAATAAATTTTGTTTTGAATATATTTTAGTTTTTATAAACTACTCATTGAAGATTATAGAAGATTATGAGTGAGTATGTAAAGAGAATCATTTGGGAGATTAATGAAGAAGAATAAAATGAAAGAACTAAGAGTGTTCCCAAGCTTATCAATGATCAACAATGAAAAGACTATAACCTGTGAAAGAGAGAATGCTGTTAATACCATTTACGCTTTTACAAAAGGGCAGTTTCTATAAAATATCAAAGATAAAAACATAAAAGGAAAGTGGTCAATTAATAAATGAGGCCTGGGTTCTAATATGACTGCTATTTTTTATTTACAAAATGAATAAGCTGGATGAGACTGCTGTAGCCCTTCTACCTTGTCCATATTGAAGGTAAAATGCTGAAAACAAAACTCTCTTAGGTATGGTTCTGTTAAAAAGGCATCTTTAACAACTAAAAATAGTCCATGTCTGTTTGAAAAAAAGGAAGATCCATGAGCTTGGCTTATCATTATCCTTAAAATATTCCTAAAACTAGATTTTTTACTTTCTCCTCAGAAGCTCTAAAATCACTTAGGAGCTAACAAGTAAGTCCTTTTTGGTACTAGCAATTAAAATCGTGACGGTGGCTAACGAAACCAGAAAGCTTAAAAGGATTTGGCAAGTCCTATTTCTATAAAAAACGTATTTTAAGAACTTCCACAAAAATACTCAACTCTTCCTTATTAAAGTGTAAAAATCTTTTCATTTTGTTTCCCAAAGATTGACATTACTAACTAATTACAAGAAAATAACCAGATTTGGTTTTCCTATGGTGAAAATATAATAGAAAACATCCTAAAAATATATATAGGGTAAAGAAAATATATATATGGGGTAGGGTGATAGCCTTTAAGAGGTATTTTTATATTGTCTGTTGTGTAATTACCTGGTATCCATTCTTCTTTGTAGACCTTCATATATCTTTTACTATACCTTTCAATATCTAGAAGAAAAAAGAACAAAGAATTCATTAGGAAAATCAAGAAGAAACCTGAACTTAAGCTATTCCTTTAAGATAACTGAAACATCTCTTATTTCACACACAGGTAGTTTCCTACATTTGTACATCATGTGTTCCTGAGCACATACTGGAAAGTTCAATGAGAATGACATGCTTAAGAAGGTGGCAAGAAGCAGCTGGGCATGATAGGCTAGGGGTGAGCAAAGACATAAACCCTGATTATGGTTCTCAGAACCCGACAACCTGACTCACCTGTGAGAATATTCACAAAAGCCCAGAGTCAGATCATGAAGTCACTTGCATACAAGGGCAGGGAGGAACAAATAGTAAGAGCTGCTCAAAAAGAAACTCAAAACTTAAAATTAAAACTGGGTCTCATGGACCCCGATGATAGAGAGAGAATTAATAAGCCAAATTCCATTTATTCAATAACAGACTTTGTGGCCAAATTGCAGGTAAATGTGCAATTTCCATTAAGCTTTTGAAGTTCCAAAAATGCCTTAGAGAACCATCACCACTCTCACACCATCACGTCTGAGGATCCTGTGGTTCAGGAGCCTGAGCTGGAAACTCTATGTTCCCTATAGAGATCTCTATATTCTCTTGTGGCTAAAATTCATTAAAATAACATTCACAGGTGTTTTTCCTTTGTTGTAAAATAATAAAGTCATTATACAGAAAAGACTCAAAATGTCTACAATTCTACCTGAAAATATTATAAACAAACTTTGAAGACATCACAACATGAAATAGGTTTATTCCATGATAGATCTCAATGCCCTGAGCCACCAGCCACTTGACTATCAGGAAGTCTTGACATCTCCCACCCTAATTCTTTGTCCTAGTCTCTAATGACTTAGTTCTTCACAGTAATACACAAATCTCTTTTTCCTAAAGCACACAGGTGACAAGTGATAGTAGAAGGCTGATGAAGGTGCAGTCATGCAACACTACTATTTGGAATATGGTTCCCTCTGATTTGGGGGTATTTCTGTTCAGTCTGGACAACTGTTTTTCATTCATAGTGTGTATATTATATAAATATATATGTGTATATATACACCTACACACACATCATATGTACCTATATACACATATAAATGTATATATTTTATTAAAAACCTGTATTTTCAACATTAGGTTTTTTTTTTAATATACTGCCTCAGGAAAGAAGTAAAAATGAGGATTTCAAGGAAAATGTATTTGTATCATTTAGAGAATTCTATGCAAGAGTTTTCTCCTGAAAAAACAAAAGCAAAAGATCCCTTATATTTTTAAATACTTTATCGCATAGTTATCAAAGATAAAGTACCCCCTCGATCCAAGTACAAGCCAACTACTCCCACAAATCAACAACAAAATTATGTTCTTAATGTCACTGTCTAAAAGACTCAAATAAATGCTTTAATGACTTGATACACTTTTAAATTAGACATTGCTTTAATAACAGTGCATTCAAGTAAGTAAAACTGTCCCATAATCTAGAGAAAAGACCAATTTTAAAAGGACTAAAGTATACTCTGCACTATTATTTTTTCTAGTAAGAATATTTATTAGTTCATTTGATCTTTTAAAAAATCTTTAAAATGACAGCTTTCATTTTTAAGCTCAGATGAAAGCATATAACATAATGATAGTTAAAAAATTCAGTATTTTTGAGATAAAATCTCTCTCATCAAACCATTATATAACTTCAAGGAGCTATGTTTGTAAAATTAAATGAACTTGTATAAAATGTCTTATAATCATAATATGTAAGATCACTATAGAAGACTTCCTTTTTTTGACTCTGCCAATTCTAAGTCTTTTAGAGAGAGAAAAATGGAACTGGAATGCACTTTTAGTACTAATGGAATGAGATGATACTATATGAATTTCTCATGTTTTAATGATGTTGTTTTGAGAACTCAAAGATGATATTGATCTCTTTAATTTCAACACTCAAGGGCAGAAACTAAAAATCAATATGGTTCTACTGTTCTAAACAGCTACTTAGGAATAGTTTCCCTTCCTATAAAACCACTTCCCACTTCCAGTCTGAGACTGCCAAGCCTTCTCCAACTATAATTTCTTCTCAATATATATATTATACTTATATATATCTCCAATGAATATATATTTTATATTTCATATCATATCATATACATATATGGTAAACCAAAAAGTCAAGGCTTTAAAAAATTTTAACCTAAATATTAAACAATCAGAGACATGCATAAAGATGTATGTAAAATAATAGTAATCATGGCATTATACATATGAGCAAAAAACTGGAAATAATCTTAAGCCTAATAGCAGGGAATTAGTTACAATCAATAATGTTATATCCATACAATGAAACACCAAAGGTATTAAAATTTGTATTTTCCAAGAATCATAAGGTTATGATTATAACCTTATAACATGCTAATATGCCATAGAGAAAAAAAATGAAGATACAAAATAATATGAATTCAATTTTATAAAGAGAATACACACAAAAGAGGAAAAAATCTAGAATATATAATAAAATACTAGTCATTCTTTAGACACAGCATGGGTAATTTTTACTTTTTAAAAATATTCCTGTTTTTCATAATTTTCACTGAACATATAAAACTTCTATTGTGAAAGCCACTTTTAAAAATAAAATATCACAAAGTTTTAAGTATTTTTTCTGTTAAATCAACATAAATATATTTTTTAAGATAGTTGATCAATTCTGATTGGATCAAATCAATCAGCATTCAATGATCACGTAACTTATGCTTAAACATCTGAACAAATTAAACCACATAATCAAAGAGTCTAATACACACCTTGTTTTTCTTCTGGTGTTTCAATAAAATAAGGCATTCTTTTCATTGTTTCTCTCAACTCCTGTTTCAAGGCAAGTACATAATCTTCACTTTCTCCTGTTTTCAGCGGCACTGGCTTATAATCTGTATCCTATTTAAATTAGAGACAGAGCTTCTTTTAAATAAATTAAATATTTTAATGTCCCTTCATCTACATTCTAGAAAATGTCATTTTATCGAAATACTATGTTTTACAGGCATTAAATTTTAAAGTCAACTTAGAGGATGCTGAGCTTCTGTATTCTGTAAATTTTAGCCCAATGCCTGCTTTGCTCCTATTTTAGAGGTAGAAAATATGCATAATTTTCCTACTGGCCCTAAAAACTACACTACTAATAATCATTTTGCCATATAGTCTGTTGACTGATGTAATTCCATATGGTCTTACTTTAAAGATATTTTTAAAAATCAAGGTATGCACAGGAGAGCAACTGCGTTAGTTTTCTATTAACTCAACTAGTGGTGGTGTTACTGGTAGGAGCAGTAGCATAAAAAAAAAAAAATAGCAGCAGCTATCATTTATTATGACCAGGATGTACTCAATATTCAACATCCACTATCTCATTTAAAGTACTAACAATATTTCTCCTTTTACAGTGAATAAACTGAGAAGTAAACAATTTGTAATCCTATATGAGTAAATGGCAAAGCAAGAACTTGAAGCTATATTTCAATTTTTAAAAATTATATACATGCATGTATACATATACATGTGTGTATATGTATACATATAAATAGTATATTATTAAAAAGTGGGTTTCCAGGGCACATGGTAAAGATATTGCTGGTTTCAGAGGATAAGGTACATTTTTAAAATCCAACTCAGAATGTAACTGTTCATGCCACAACAATTTATTGTTTTATTGAGTACCTACCACAACTCAGACAAGGTTAGGTAACAGGAGATACTCATGAAATAGTCAAAGTCCCTGTCTGCATGGAACTTACATTCCAGGTGACAAACCCACAACAAATAAGTAAACAATTGAGGCGATATATAATTTCTGGTAGTGATTCATGACATAAAGAAAATGAAGGCAGGCAGAGGAAGAGGAAGAGTGACTTTACAGAGTGCATGGAGGATGGAGGTGGCTGAGCTACATAGGGTAGGCATGCATGGCCTTTTGAGGAAGTCACCGTTAAACACAGATCTGGATAAAATCAGGAAGCCATCCAAGCAGACAGAGAACAGATGGTTCCAGCTGGGAACCAGTAGTGGCAAAGGTCTGAGGGAACAAGGAAGCCAGCACAGCTGGAGAATGAGAAGGACAGTGGAAGGAGAAGGGTCAGAAAGACAACAAAAAGGCCAGATCAGACTTAGCCAAGAGTAAGGAATTTTAATTTTATTCCAAGTATTAAAAAAAAACACTATATACTAACATTTCCAGCAATTAGAAGTAATCGCCTCACACACAGAGGTGTTTTAAAAGAAATCACTGTAAAGTAACAGTATGCTTCTAGTGAGATATGTCTTTGCTTTTAGGCTGCACCAAATATCACAAAGGTGAAATACAAAGAGCAAAAGGCAGAGACTCCCTAAGTGAGATGCTAGATTCCCAGATACATTTGTCCAGGGTCCTCTGCTGACATTAATCCTTCAACAAACGACTTTTCCTTTTCAAATGGAGAAAGGATTCCTGAATGGAAGGGTATCTGGTTATTTATTATTTTTCATTATTTATACTACATGCAGCACATGCACACCTGGAAATGTAAGCTTACATTTTAAGCTAAATATAAAGCAAAAACATTAAACATCATGTCAGTTATGCTTGCAGTATACTAAATTTAAAACAACACTAAATGTAGTATAAACACTTAAAATATTTTGAGAAACAGTAACAAAATTCAAAATGATGTTGATAAACTAAGGAAATAAGCAAAAAAAAAAAAAGTTCAGTGGGAAAAAGGGCCAAGTGGTATACTAAGGAACAAAATTAAATTCTGTAGCTACAAGATGAGAAAAAGTCATTAAGTGAAGGATAGTAGAGTGGGAACTCAACCATTGTAAAACCTAACTTGACTTTTCAAAGTATAATTTTTATATTGGAATACATCAATAACAGCAATAGAAGATGCAAAATTAAAAACATATTCTTTCTTGGTTCACACAGTACTGAGTAAAAGGGCATATATACTTTTGTTTTCTGTGTTTTAAGAAAGCAGTCTAAAAATTAGGAAAATTTCAGGGAAGAACAGTGGCAATATTTACATTAAAGGTAAGTAAAACACACTCTCTTTTACTTTCTATACTTTAGGATATCATAATGTTATTACATATTCAAGTCCTATAGAGAATTTTAATTTTCTCTGAAACATGAAAAAACACACCTTGGGAATTCAGATGTCAATGTACTCACAGGAAACAGTGGGGGTGGTTTCAATACTACATCAGGTAATTTATCTCCTCTGCTAAATCCAACGGCCTCAATATTGAAGGTATAAGCAGCACGTCCTCTTCCTTTATTCCCAGCCATCGGAACTAGTTACACTAGAAGAGCAGGCAAATTCTGAAAGACACTATTCATGACTAAGATTTATTGAATCATACAAAAAAGAAACCAACATTTTAAAGCAAAACATAAAACTCCACCCTTTAAGTAGCATAACAGATTTAAAACACTTTTGGAAAGCAAAACACGAGAAGAAATAAACATGTGACAACTATTTGCTGAAGCCCTCACATCCAGCCACATTTGACAGGGGGTATGACGATGGCCTGTACATGCTCACCCAGGTCCTGGGTGGAGGGCTGACCCTGGGTCTCCTTTGAGATGCTGCCCCGACCGCTGCACGGCCAACTGATGCAATTCTCTCTACCTCTCTGCCGTTTGGCAACAGGATCTCAGATGTATGTAAAACGTGTGGACAAGAAAAGGCTGGCTGGCCGGGCACAGTGGCTCATGCCTGTAATCCTAGCACTCTGGGAGGCCGAGGGGGAGGATCGCTCAAGGTCAGGAGTTTGAAAGCAGCTTGAGCAAGAGCAAGACGCCTTGTCTACTAATAATAGAAAGAAATTAATTGCCACAAATAATATATAGAAAGAAATTAGCTGGCATGAGGTGATGCCTGTAGTTCCACACCTGGAGGCTTGAGGAAGAAGGATTGCTTGAGCCCAGGAGTTTGGAGGTTGCTGTGGCTAGGATGACGTCACAGCACCCACACCAGGCAACAGAGGAAGACTCTGTCTCAAAAAAAAAGAGAAGGGGTGGGAGGAGAGGAGGAGAAGGAGAGGAGAGAGGAAGATGAGAAGAGACGAGCGAGGAGCTAGAGAAGGAGAGAGGCAGAGAGGAGAAGAGAAGAAAGAGAGAAGAGAAAAGGCTGGCTGATGAGGAAAGGACATCTTGCTTTTTCATATCAAATTGAAAACTATTAATCATATACACTGTAAAACTTTAATTTTATCCTAGAATGTGAGTGTTAGAAAGGATCCTTGAAATCTAGCCCAACGTCCTCCTCTTAAACGGTAAGGTACACCTACACCTGTCCTCCAACTTTGGGGACAGTATCACTATGCCAATCTGCACTGAACGTTTGAATGTGTCCGAATCATCGGTTACACTATAACTGCAGTCGGAGCTGGCAGTGTAATTAACAGGGATCCGTATACCAGATTCCTTCAACAGAACTCTGCGTTCAACTGCAGTGATGATTATAATGCACATTCTTTACACCTCTCTGGTCACGTAGTATGAGCCCCTCATGTAATCCTGTGAGCCCGACAGAGCAATGACATATCCTCTGGACCACTTGAGCGAAGTCAGAGAAATGCTTTTGATTTCAGCCCCCTCCACTCAGTCTCATTTCTCAATCTAGTCACTTGCCCTCCATTCAGAATTATACAGCCACAGCACTTCACACCGCTGCTGTGCTCTTCACCAGGGTTTCCTGCTAAGATAAAAGGTCACTAATGTTACTCTTCTCCACTTTGTCACTTTAATGGCGAAGGAACACCTCCTAAGAACAAGAGGCCATTCTTTGTATCTTTTTGACTGTACAATTTTAATATATATATGACTGGGGAAAAAAAGCCTGAAAAATCCCAGCTCACTTTATCACAGGGCCAACACTACAAAGCAACGTCTCACTCCTGGCTGCCCAAGAATCACTGGTACCTTATGCTGCTATCATTCTTTCTTTTTTTTTTATTTTTTTTTTTTTTTTTTTTCCCCTCTCAACCATAGCTATTGGTGGTTCTCAGAGGCGGTCTCAAAGAGCTATTGTCCTCGACTCAGAGACTGAACCTAGAGGATCATTTGAGACCAGCCTGGGCCACATATGGAGACACTATTGCTTAGAAAAAAAAAAAAAAAAAGTGGAAAAAAATTAGCCAGGCAATGCTGTTACTGCAGCCTAGCTACCTGGAGGCCTGAGGAGGATCACTTGCAACCAGAATTTCATGCTGCCATAGCTATGACAATGCCCCACGCACTCCAGCCGAGCACAAAGCCAACCACACTTAAACGAAAAAGGAGGGAGGGAACGGGGAGGTGGAGGGAAGGAAGGAGGGTGGGGATGAAGAAGGAAGGAAGGAAGGAGGAAGAAGAAGAAGAAGAAGGAAGGGAAGAAGGAAGGAAGGAAGGAAGAAGTAAGAGAGGATGGAGGGCTGGTATATATAGACGGGGAAGGGCATCCTTCTACACCTGCTAGGGAGAGCCAGACATAAAATGTAACCAAAATGGTTTGTACCTCATAGGCACCCGAATACAAATAAAAATAATATAAAAGAAAATAATAGTGAATGAAAAAAAAAGAAAGAAGACATGGAAAGGAAGGATAAAGAAGAAAAAAAGAGAAAGACAAAAGAAAGTGCTGTCGCAGCACATCACCTGGAGCCGGAGAAACGGCAGGAATTTTGGCCCACCACACCGGACCTAAAGAACATAAACCGGAAACCAGGCAATCTCTGTGTTTAACACATTGAACCTCCCATGTAAGTTAATAAACCTCAGGACTAGTTTCAGCCTGGGGCCGAAGAAGCAAACCCTGTCTGGAGTTTATGAAAATCTACTTGTTGAGGTTCTATTGATACAATAATGACAATTTAATCTAAAACTTGATTCGCATTGCTATCAACTATGGAACAGAAAAAAATAAAATAACATTAAAAGGCCCGTGTTAATAAAACACATGGCCTCCAGGGAAAAAATTTTTTTCTCCTAGTGTGGCCAGTCAAGTGGTTAACGAAGTCATCCAGGGTAGATTCGTGCATGCTAAAGTTTATGTGATCACTGATATCGCGCGAAACCACAACACAATCACACTCTGAGATCTCTTGGGGTGACGGATTGGGCAGAATCTTTAAACTCCTAGGTGATTGTGGCAGCGCGCCTGGGTCACCGCCTGCATCCCAGCCTCTGGGGAGGGTGGTGGCGATGCCCAAGGCCAGGAGTTGAACCAGCCTCGAGCAACGAGCGAGACCCGTCTCTACTATAAACAGAAAGAAATAATTGCCAATATATACTAACAAGAAATCCGGGCATGGGCGAACCGTATCCACTGACTTGGACTGAGCAGGAGGATGCGTTGAGCCAGAGATTCGAGGTTGCTGTGAGCACCGGCTGACGCCAAGGCAATCACCTCTAGCAAGACGTCTGCTCAAAAAAAAAAAAAAAAAACTCCGTAGTATTGTAACACGAGGCAAATTTTAGATAATTCGGGAATGCTCTGCTGGCAGTCTGATACAAAGTAGTACTGGGTTACAAATACACACGTTAGAATCAGGGTCTTCATAAATCATCTTTGAGTTGAAAGATATAGCCACATTATCTTAGCGATGTAACGAGAAATTTACCTCAAAGGAGATGACTGCACTGCTAAAATTATTTAGCACTGAGATGTGGACAGTCGAGCTGTAACTCATTCAGGCAGAGCAGTGCCCACTCTTGGAGTCCAAGACTGGCAATTTAAAGCCTGACATTTAAGCTCATTTTAACACATAGAAACAACATCATTATTCAACATTTCTCTGGAGGAATATTTTTCCTCTTCGTGATCTCAGGTAGGAGGCAAGGATTGATAAAAGGCCTAGAACACCGAGAAATTGTCACATATGATTACATTCACATTCTAAATTCATCCTTCAAGTGCCTCCATAACTGAAAATTTCCTTCAAAACTGCTTAACATTAAAAGTCGATTTATATCTTAAAGGCCGTTTACACTACACACTCTATATTTTTCTTAAGAAAAGTGAGGATTCTAAGGTCCTCCGTAGGGGAGAAGAGGTGCTATTGCCCCATGGCTGCCCAACCCGATTCTCCCATACATGGGGAGGAGGGAACACCCTATGAACGCCAAGCAGAAAGTGGTCCACCGCTACAAAAGAATGCAGAGGACCTCTAGCCACAGGCAAGATGTACAGGGTACCATGAAGTCTGGCAAGTGCTAAACACACTCATCATACAGTAAGGCTCGGCCTGTGACTCCAACTGTCTAACTCAAAGTGGTTCCATGGTCACCTCTTGAAACAGGGAGCCCTATCAATCAGACACATGCACTAAATAAAGGAACGACACCATAGCAAGATCCTCTTTTCCTTCCTTTGCCTACCCGTCGCTGCGACAGGGTCCAGTGGTCATGCCTAGACTGCCCCGAGACTGTACTGTATTGCTAGCTGACCAGTAATCGATTTGCTTCAGTAAACCCATCATTTTCCATGCTCGCCTACTTGGTGCTGTCGCATCACTCTCTGCATAAGATGCCAGAATCTTGGAACAGTTCACATTGAAACACATAACCTTATTTAAGACATTAAATCATACAAACCTAAGAAACGAACAATAAATCAACGCCCTTACACCCAATCATTCAAATATCATCATAACTAATTACTTACTCTACACTCTACTCCATGTCAGGTATTCTGTCTCTCTTAGAAGTATTTCACAAACATTAAGGGCTAAAAAAAACAAAACAAAAGAAACACAGGCTGGCATGGGCGGCTCACGCCTGTAAATCTTAGTGCTCTGGGAGGCCAAGGCCGAGAAACTCAACGTCAGGAGTATAGACACACCAGCAAAAGCGAAACTGTCTCTACTAATCACCAAATAAAAAATGCATTGACTAACTAAAACTAACATCTATACTAACTATCATATACCGGCAATCTGGCAACATGCTGTATCACTGGTCCCAGCTACCTGGAGCTGAACATAGGATCAGCCCTGAGCCGAGATTTCGAGTAGCTTGCTGTGTGAGCTAGGCTGATGCCACAGCACTCTAGCCTGGGCAGCAGAGTAAGATTCTGTCTCAAAAAAAACCAAACAATAACTTTACGTCTAAAATTTTAACAATTCTTTACTATCATCTTAATACCCAGTGTTCAAATTTCCTCAGTCATCACATAAGTGTTTTTTATAGTGAGTTTGTTCAAGTTAATATACAAAAAAACCCACAAATGACATTTGAATGACACGTCTTTTAAACCTTTTTTAAACTGTAGTAGTTCCCCCCCCTTTTTTTCTAACTATTTGTTGAAAAAACTAGGTCGCTGTCCTGTAGGATGCTTCCCAAATTTTAAGGCACAGTGAATTACCTAGGAATGTTGTTACATGCAGATTCTGATTCAGGTGTCCTTCAGTGGTGCCTAAAAATCTGCATTTCTATCAAGCTCTCAGGAGATACTGAAGCTGATTTGCAGACCACACTTTGAGTAGCAAGGTTGTACAATTTCCCATATTCTGGATTTGAATGACTGTACACCTGAGATGTGGTTCAACATATTCCTCTATTCATTATATGTAATTCCAATAAATAGGTGGACTAGAGGCTTACTCATATTTGGGTTTGATTTTTTTGCAAGTAATTTTGCAAGTAATTATTTTTTATTTTTTTGCAAGTAATTTCTTTGCATAATAAAAGAAGATGCTCTTTTTCCTACTGCATCACATCAAGTGCACATGAAGTCTCCCTCTTGGTGATCAGGCTAGTCAGTGGGTTCAGGTGCTATCAATCAGTTTCATCTAGCATAAAATGGCCCTCAGTTTTCACTTAACGATTTTAGCAGTCAATGATTGTTGCCTAAATCCATTATTCTATCATGGATGCTAAAATGGTGATATATAAATTTTACCATTCTTTCTGTTTTATTCATTAGAATTCTACCAGTGATCAATTTCCCTTATCCACTAGTTACCTACAGGAATGGTAATTATTTTTTAATAGCCAAGCTTATTCCATCTATCCACACTAAAAGAGAGGGAAAATACCCAGATGGCCTGATTTCAATTGCTGAGTCACTAAAGCACATATTGAGCTCAGAGAAAGCTGGTCTCCCAAGTATGAAAACTGCTGAGCAGAACGGTTCACACCTTCACGCCAAGAAACAACTGCAGGAGCCCAGTAGGCAGGGCAAGACCACTAGGCTGCATTCCAATTCCAGGATTTGCCATTAACTAAAACTCAAGAACAATTCTAGGTAAAGCAGACTTGCCTGATCATGAGAATTAACTGGAAGACTCGTTAAACATGGAGTCCCAGGCATTCCTCAAGCCCTCAAACCTACAACAGAATCTTTGCAGATAGACCTGAGAAAGTTATGAAAACTCACCCCAAAAAGAGAGTGCATCAGCTAGCATTGCTTAGTGGAATACCCCTTGAGAAAGATCAATCTCCGCTGACTCTAAATTTCCATTTTTATAGCAATCTATGGGTATGTAAATTGTTTTAGTGTATATACTAACCCTGGAGGAATTCTACCTCCTGAAAAACCCTTAATAATTACATGGCATTCTAGCCTACAAACCTAAACTCTTTTTAAATTTGGTTATCATGACTACAATCCCCTGTACCCAAAGAGGAGTTTCACTTATGTTCTTTGTTGGTTTTTTTTCAAATATTTTAACAGTAGACATTTATATCCCCCACCGCCTAGCACAGTGCTTTCTATATAGCAGTGGCTCCACAATTAACACATTAACTGCCACGTGAGTTGTATTTAACTCACGCTAGTTTTAAGCCCTAGCCCTCATGAAGCATGTGTAACTGACACATCTCTTCACCTTGGGAGCCACATGAAGTATTTTTCAAGTTCCATATAACTCACACACACAAAAACAATAAAAAACAAGAAGTTTTAATTAAATTAGAAAGGATAATTCTATTTTAGTAATAAAACACCATGGCCCCAAGGAAAATTTTTTTTTTCCTAGTGTAGCAGTCAATATGTTAATGTGAAGCTTTCCCTATTTATTTATGTATGCACTGTGATTTAATGAGCAAATCTATCCACAGAAGTACAATTCAGTCAGCCTACTATCAAAGTTTTTTTGTGTTTTTTTAAAAACTTCCTAAACTATAAAATTTAACACATCGTTGGCACATTGGAATCATCAGGAGAGCTTAAAAAAAAAAAAACCACAAAAACCACACAGGTTACACCCCAGAACAATCAAGGAGGCAGTAAAAGGGCACAGTATCTTTCCTGATCAATGACTCCTAAGTTGCCCCAATCAAGAGCCTAAAGTCCTTCTGACTCATCTCTGTATCCTTTGATCCCCTTAGCTAACAGTAAAAGACTATCAATTCTGTTCTTTCTCCATGTTCCCCTTCCTTCCCCTCTGTTTCAGTTCAGACCCTCACATCTGTCACCTGGAGCTCTGAAATAGAAAAAAATTAATTTCCTATGGCCAGACTCCCCCTTTCAATCCACCCTCCAGTCATGTTTCTAGAATATAAATCTTGACATGTCACTCTCCTTAACTAACAGAGCTCTGGAGTCTAACTTTCTGCCTCACACCACACACATCCCACACTGTAGCCATACTTGCCCTGGCATGCATTATTCCTTCTGCCTGAAGTGCCCGTCCTGCTACATTCACCTAAGCAAGCCCTAGTAACTTTTCAGATGCCATGCAAACGACACTTTCTCCATGACCATTTCTTCCACCCTACAAGGAGGTAGGCCTTTCCCTTTTCTGTGTTTCCCAAGTACTACATTGCTTCTATGGCTGTCTTTTTTTACAATCATGTTGTAACTCTCATCTCTTCTCTGTCTCCCCAGGGAGGCACTTCAATCATCCATTCAAGTATTTATTAAGCACCCTCTGCACCAGGTCATCTTCTGTCCATTGGGAATACAGTAATGAGCAAAACAAAATCTCTCCTCTCATACAGCTCATAGTCTACTATGGGAAATGGACAAAATATACTTCATAGAAAATGTCAGGAAGTGGTAGGCGATATGAACAATAAGGCAGGTGCTACTGTGGAAAGGATGGTTGAAGAAGCCCTCTCTTATTCAATAATATTCACGCACAAATCTGACAAGAGTGAGGGAAAAAGCCAGGTAGAGAAGTGAAAAAGAATATGCAGGGGATGTGGATTACCGGCCAAGGGACCTGTAAGTATGAAGGCGTCCTTGGAAACTTATTCACCTATTTATGCCCCATCACTAACCAGAGCCTGGCAAAAGTCCAATGATCATTGGGTGAATTATTGCTGAGTTCATGGCCTAGTAAGGATATCACTCCATTTCACCCCTAGTGGTACTCTTCTGCCTAGAGGAAAAATGCCCAAACTACAGAGAACACTGTATTTCTCTGCTAAGATTGCCCTACCAGTGGTCTTTTAAGGCCAGCTCAAATGCCACTCCTCAACAATCCCTTCCATCTGTATTCTTTTTTTTTTTTTTTCCCCCCTTGGCCACTTTGGATCATCTGTATTCTTAGTGTACATGGTTTTTACTTCCTCTGTGGTGTATATATGTATGTATGTGTGTGTGTGTGTGTGTGTGTGTGTGTGTATAGCCCATATTGCTTTATGGTGCAAGTGTTTGCATGTTTTTATCCCTCAAACTCTTGAGGATCAAGATCATGACTTTTTTACAGAATTCTGTTTTTCACACATCATCTAGCTTGGGGACTTGTGAATAAGGACAGCTCCCCAACTGAATAACTAAATAATGTCTACCTAGATTAGCAAAATATTCAGAGAGGCCATATCCCCATCAAAGACTTTAGGAGGGTGGAGAAGAGTCTATTTCTCCTTCCATGAAGATTTATTAGTAGTTGCCACAATAAGGGTTTTCATAATTATCTTTTATAATGCTGTCTCATAATTTTTTGTGGCCAAGTAGGGAGGTTAGTCAAGTTCTCAAGGGAATTTCTAAAGCCCAAATAGATGCTTCCATAGCTGCGAAGTGGGGAGTAGGGACAAGGGCCCGAAGTTAATGGTGGGGATGAGTTCTGTGGGTGGCGGGGCCACACCCAGTCATTATTCACTTTACCCATCCTCCTCACAAGATGCTCCGCCTCTCCTTAGTTGAGCCTTTCTGCCAACTTTCTTTACCTTCCTCCAAGAGTGGACAAATTAACCATGGAGGGTAGATATGGAATTTTGTTAGAAAAAAGACAAGCCATATTAACAACCCCCTTCCCTACCATACAGAGTAAAGTGCCAACAGTTCAAGAAAACAGGTACGGAATGGTCTGTCCTTCGCTGCAATATGCAGCAACGATCAGTGCCTAGACAAATCATATAGTCACCGCATTTGGTAACTCACCTGCTATCAGTAAGACCATCTATTCGCTTCTAACTCACTGCAAACAGTCGCAGAAAGTACAAACTAGTTAAGATCTGGAAACGAAGATTTAAACAGATTTTTTAAAGGGAGCAGAAGGGGAGGTAAAGTTATCTCGCAACGCCCCTAAATCCAGAGGCTCTCTAATGAATCTCTACCCATGACTTCCCCCCACTTTCTCCACGTGCCCCTTTAACTCCTCTTTACCCTCTCCACCCCCTCCCAAGTCCTCGATTGCTTCCTCTGTTACCTGCTCACTTAGTCTCGTGGCCTGGGCAAAAGTGTGCAGCCCACGTGCCGGCCGGCGAAGAAGGGGTGCTGGCAGACCGCGCCGCACTTGGGTGCAGCCGGCTCCACCTCAGCAGAAGCGCGCGCCGCCCTCCACGCGGCTGCCGAGCCGCGCTCAGATCCCCCCCACCTAGCCCCGCCCAGTCCCCGGCTAGGCCCCACCCCCTCGGCGAAGAGCTTTTTAGCCCTTGGCAGGCGCCGTAGTCTTCGTCCAACTGGCGCGGGCGACTCTTTCGGCGCCGGCTGGGAGTGCGCGTTGCGGCGAGCCAGCGGGTGGGCGGGCCTAGCGCTTCCCACGCCTCGACACCGGCCTCTGCAGTCAGACCCCAGGGGTGGGGGAAGTGTCGCCTTCTGGGTCTCCATTCTGCCGCAGTGGCCCCTGCGATAACGCTCCTCCGTGCTGCGGCTGCGGAGGCTGCGCTACTCAGGACACCCCGGGCAGCGCCGGTTCGCGTCCTTCCTCCTCCAGTGCCTCCCCCGCGCCTCCCCGCATCCTCCGCCCCCTCCGCGCCCGGCGCCGCCTCCCAGACTGCGGGCAGACCGCTCCACACAGCCGCAGCGCCCAGCGTCTGGACGGCCTGAGGGAGACACACACGCCCACACGCACCCCGCCCGGCCGCACCCCTGCCCAGCATGTCGGCGCTCGAGTGGTACGCCCACAAGTCCCTGGGCGATGGCATCTTCTGGATTCAAGAACGCTTCTACGAGTCCGGCAACCGTGCCAACATCTGGCTGGTGCGCGGTTCGGAGCAGGACGTGGTGATTGATACAGGCCTGGGGCTACGCAGCCTCCCGGAGTACCTCTACTCCTCCGGCCTCTTGCAGGACTGCGGGGCCGAAGAGGACGCGGAGCGCCGGCCGCTGCTGGCCGTGGCCACCCACGTGCACTTCGACCACTCCGGCGGCCTCTACCAGTTCGACCGAGTCGCCGTGCACCACGCCGAGGCCGAGGCGCTGGCTCGCGGGGACAACTTTGAGACCGTGACCTGGCTGTCCGATAGCGAGGTGGTGCGGGCCCCCAGCCCGGGCTGGAGGGCCAGGCAGTTCCGGGTACAGGCGGTGCAGCCCACCCTCATCCTGCAGGATGGTAATGGGCCCCCGCGGGCGCGCGCGCTCTCCTAAGGGAGGGGATTGGGAAGAGACTGGCCGAGTGCTGCTGCATGTTGCGGACCTGCGTGGCCATAAGGGGGATGATTTTGGCATCTCGCAGAACGACTTCTGTTTCACCCTTCCCTGAGTAAAAAAAAGCCCACTCGACCCTTGCCAAGGCCATCGCAGCCTTCTCTGTCAGAGAGCACTCTGGCACCGTGTAGCCATTCCGAGTACTCCTTTGAAAGCCGGCACCACCCCCGTAGTCAGTTTCCTGAGTCTGTTAACAGTAGTAACACCACCCAGACTTGTGACTAGAGATTGCCCATCCCATACTCAAGCGCCTGACGTTCCCAGGCGCTTGAGTAGCGAGTAAGCTCTTAAGGAATGACGCCTCGCGGAGAGTGCATGTCATGCTGTGTGCTTTTGAGAGCTGCGGACTTCATCAGCTCAGTCACCACCACCAGGATGAGTAATTCCCACCTGTAGGCTTGGAAAGCCGTTATCAGAGCAGTGGTTCCAATCTCTCATGCATACATGTCTTTCAGATAGGTTTCTGCTCTTGATGTCGCCTCCTGAGATAAAAAGCTTCGTAGTAAACATAAAAGGAGAATATGTCTGAGTCTTTCTTTAATGACGCATGTATGGTCTGATTGAAAGCAAAGCCTGAGATAGATTAATACGGTTATTTTCGATGGAGATAAATTATGTGGACCAATACATAGGTAGCCTTGGTGCTTTGGCTCTGTGAAAGACAGGATGGGGTTCAGAGAGAAATTCAAGGAATAAAACAATATAGAATAGGCCCTTAGCCCATTGTCCCCACAAAGGCACTTAAATAATTAGCCATGGCCCCAATATTTGGTATATTAATTTTCTGTTTTCTTTCTAGAATACTTTGATTTCATTTTGTCCTCACAACACATTTGAAGTGAGACCACTGACCCCCAATTATGTGGCTTGCCTAGAGTCCACCGAGCAAGATCATGGTAAAAGCTAGGATTTGAACCAAGACAATAAATCAAAGCATGCAGAACATACATAAATCTTACCCCATAAATATGTTAACTCTGGGTAGAATGTGAAAGCCCCCTATTATCTTTTCTATCTTGAAATCATTTTAATTTTCAACTTAGTTTATTAAAACATCCCTCTATAAGGTAGAAAAATGGAGTTGCTGCAGTACATTGAGGCTCACTTTTCATGACCAAACAATATGGCAAATAATGAAATACTGTACAAAAATCAGTTTGTCTTACAGATGAGATCTTGATCAGTTGATGTATTAAAAAATACAAGATTCTATACCTCACCCCCCACCCAACAAGGCTCTTCATTAAAGTTTTAAATCTAAAGGTTAAAAAAATCTGGTTTAGATGGTAGTCTTGCATTATCTGACAATTTGAGATAAAGGAAAGGTACATTTACATTAAATTTTAATTTACATTAAATTCAAAGTACATTTACTTTTAACCACTGTATTTCTTGATTAAAAAAAATAATACTATTAGGGGTAAGATTTCAATGCAGTTGATGGGTATTTAGACCAAATTCTGGCACCTAGATCAAAGAAGGTTTATATTAGTATTAAAATATATTTAAATTGTTTAAAAGAATAAATTACTTTTGATTCTGTGAGAGCAAGGGGAAATCAATAGTCAAAGAATGGTTGGGATTATTTATAGATGAAGAAAGGATCCATGCCATCCTGAATATCATGCCAGAGGTCATACAGCCTGTTTGGGAAAGAGCTGGGACTGGAACCCAGGTTTCCTGAATCCTAATTGATGGTAGAATTGTAGCATTTTGGGGGCTGCACAGAGCCTGCAAATTACCTGTGTGGTGCTTTCAGCCTTTCAAGGTGTGAAAAGAAAGCTTAATATTTACCAAATACTTCGAAGGTGATAGCACTGTGTTATCAAAAGTTATTTTTCATTAGAACCTGACTGCTTCACCCTCTCAAGAAGTATATAATTTCCTCTCTTCTTAGAAATATTAATTTCCTGTATCTTGTGAATGATGTGGCCTGATAACTTGCTATTGACATAATCTAGATGCCTGGGAGGAGACATAAAATATTTATATTAAAACTTCATATACACTTACACACATGAACAACACCTGTCCAAACAACACAGTCTTCATTGTTTTGGTTAGAACACAAGGAAGCTGAAATCATTTGTTTATTGCATTTCATTTAATGAATTGATCATCACCTGTAATGGAGAAGCATAAATCTGTGGACTAATTTTCTAACTGAAAAGCTGACTTGTATATGAGGGACAAGGAGAAAATAGCCATATCATCCAGTGCATTATCTTTGATGGAAAAACAGCTTACCTTGCTAATAGTGAGATAGTATCTTCCTATAAGAAAAATTGATAGAGCACATACTCTTGAATGGGCACATACCATTTTGCTTATATTTCACAATATTCAAGTAATATGAAGTTCTGGCATTTTTAGCTATCTCTAATACACATGTTTGAACAGTTTGCCCAGAATTATCACACTATTATCTCAAAGGAGTGGTTTCAGGTGGACTTAAGTCATTTGGGGAGGTTAAAACAAAAAAATACAGATTATAGAAAGGTGGCAGACCGAACAAACACATCTAATTTGACACCCTCCCAAAGCCCCACCAATGCTACTTTAAAGAGGACCATGATTTGTTTAAGTATAAATCCTGGATTGGCTGGGGGACTTGCACTGATGAAGATCCTCAAAAGACTCAGGAATTAGCAATAGCCGGTACCTCACTGGTGGCAAAAGGAAGAATATTAGAATAAATAGAATTGGTTAAAACATTTTACAAAGTAAACTCCGAACCCTTCTCCCTAAGTGAGTACCCTCACCCCAAATCCAATTAGTTTATTCTCTGGGCATAGTAAATAAGAGGAGTTTCTTGATTGAAGGATGCCAAACGCTATTGAGCTCAGGGGTTTAGGAGGAACAGTGTATGTATGTATGTGTGTGTGTATCTACTACTATTTTCCCAGAAGGATAAGAGCCAGACCTTTACTCCTTTGGTTGGACATTAGAAAAATTTTATCTGAAGATTCTGCCCCCTACAGGAAGACTTCAAGATGCCAAGGTAGAGAAATCCCTAAGAAATCCCTGGCCTATCTCTGTCTACTGTCAAGCTTAGGTCACTAGAACCCATGTACATGCTTCAGGCAGCTTCTTTGTCCCCCATTCTTTATTGATGTAAATATTTATGGAGTACGGGTGATATTTGATACATGCATACAATGTATAATAAATCATTAGGATATCTATTATCTCAAACATTTATCATTTTTTGTGTTGGGAACATTCCTAATTTTCTCTTCTAGCTATTTGAACTATACAATAAATTATTGTTAACTATAGTTGCCCTACTGTGCTATTGAACACTAACTTATTTCCTCTAACTTTATGTTTATATCCATTAACCAACCTTTCTTCATCCTCCTTTCTTTCCCAGCCTGTAGTAACAATTCTAACTTTTTTAGCTCCCACAGGAGTGAGAACATTAAATATTTGTATTTCCGTGCCTGACTTATTTCGTGTAGCATAATGTCCTCTAGTTCCATCCATGTCACTGCAAATGACAGGATTCCATTCTTTTTATAGTTGAATAATATTGTATTGTGTCTATATAGCATGTTTTCTTTATTCATTCGTCTGTTGATGGGCACTTAGGCTGATTCCATATCTTGGCCATTATGAACAGTGTTGCAGTACAAATGAGAGTACAGATATCTTTTTGGTATGCTGATTTCTTTTGGATATATACCAGTGAGATTGCTAAATCATACAGAATTTTTATCTTTAGTTTTTTGAGGAACCTCTATTCTCTTTTTCATAGTTGCTATACTAATTAATATTCCTGCTAACAGTGTACAATCATTCCCCTTTCTCTACATCCTTGCTAGCATCTGTTAATCTCTGGGTTTTTTGATAATAGCCATGTTAACTGGTTCCACCCACTCTTAAACAGGCAACCAAGCATTGTGAAAAATCTGAGAAAATCTTCTAACATGTGTTCAAATATTAAAACAAACAGCATAAAGCAACGTGAAAGTGGGAGACTGTCATTGGGGGATAAGACATGCTATTGTGTTCAAGATATCCAGGAGACAATAAGGATGGTTTAAAAATATACAACAGAATAATACCCACCCCCACAAAAACGAGCTCTAGGTATTTAAAATGTCAAAATATACTTAGTAGAAAGTCTGGAAGATAAAATTGAAAAATTTAGAGCAGATAGGCAAAATGAAAAGAAGGAGAGAAAAAGACTAGATAAGTAGAGGACCAATTTGGAAAATCCAACCCTGGAATAATAGGTACAGAGACAGGATAGAGAAAGTGAGAGAGAAGAGATAGTAGTAGAAATAGATGTAATCCCAGAATACTAAAGGTAATCCAAGAATATATCCCACAATTAAAGGGTATAAATTTCCAGATTGAAAGGGCCCACAGAGTTTTCAGCACAATGGATGAAAACACATCCAAACCAAAGCACATTACTGCAAAGCTTCAGAACATTAGGAATCAAAGAAGATTCTACAAAATTTAAACAAAAGGGTCATATATTTAGATCAGAATGGCTTTGAAGCTAGAAAAGAAGAAAATTTGCCTTCAAATTTGAATGAAAATTATTTCCAACCAAGAATTGTGCATTCATCCATTAAATAATTAAATTATTTCCCCCCAAAATTATTTCCCACTTAGGAGGATACTAGGATATTCCTCTTCAAAATAAGGAGTAAAACCAAGAAGAAGGAAGACATCAAATACTGTGAACAGGAAATCTAATGCAAACGAAAGTCAAAAGAAAACATCAGGATGATGCAAGGGATGACACTCTGATAGTACCCTGGGTACAGAGGGCTCCAATCTGGTTTAAAAATATACAGAGGGCACCAGATTGGAACCTTCTGTACCCAGGGTACAGCAGGGCTGGAGCAGTTGAATCTTAGTTCTTTTGCCATGGTGGGGGCAAAGGGTTAG